ATTCATACGGGCCTTCAGTTGCTCATACATCCCTTTTCCCCGCAAAGTCCCCAAGAACCAGACAATCCTGCAGGACAAGCCTTGGCTGCCTTTCTCCAAGGCCGTTTACCTGCAGCCTATCAGCAGAATCAGAGAAACATGAGGTGTCAAAGGAAGGGGACCAGGACACCAGTTGGTTCATCACAGGCCCTTCAGGTCCGGTCCGGTCCTGGTCCCTCAGGTCCTTCTGGTCCAGTTTATTGAAGAAAGTATCAAACACTTATACAGCAAATAATAAGCTTATGAATATTCTGTAAGCCAAGCAATCTATTGGTTAAACTATAGCATCAACTCTTCCTCATTCCTTAGGGGTTACATCTCTCTTTTCTCATGTCTCTTTCACTGTTTGTTATTATACTACAGCTAAGCCTCAAGGACATGCTATCAACACAGGTGCAGGACTTGGAATTAGCCACGGTTTTGTACTTTTCTATTCTCTAGCAGCTAAATTCCCAACAATGAGGTACTCAGAGTCAAAGACAATACACTGCAGAGAGGGCATTACCCTTGACGCAGGAGGCTCCCCCAGCAGCAGAGGTGTGTGAGCTCTCACCAGCTCAAAAGTGATTCTAAGCAAGCGTGCAAAGTGCAAATTATTCCCTTTTAAATCAAAGTGTGTGACAGTTTACCAGCTTGAAGAAACCTAGGCTGGCTTAAGGTTCTCTGCAGACAAACAACACTGGTTTCATAAGCTTAACAGGTTTAAACCTCATGAACTCATGAGCCACAGTCAACTTTTATATTTGAATCATTTGACTCTGAAGCTTGAATAGTAAAGAAGTAGCATAGTTATGGACCTGAAACTTTCAGGCTTTGCACATATCAGATTTATGAGCTAAAGTAAATTAAATAAGATGAATGCTTTTGTTACAGCAGCTTCTTTTTAGAAGCTGTTTCCCTGATAGACACTGAGTGGATGGATGGTGGTTTCAGAGAGGTAAATGCAAACCATCATCTTGCTGTTCATGGAAAAAAAGCAGTCCTTTGTTACCAGCACCTTGGAAATGAAGTAATAAAACAAAGAACACAGAAATGTTTGATGGCTGTTCTGGATTCATTAGGCTTGTGATTCAGCTTTTAAATTCAGGGTAGCAATTTTCTTGTAAGAGAGATACAATCCAGGTAATAAATGACAGACGATCTTAAAACATTTATAATCTTAATAATCAAAACACAGGGAGAGAGACAGGAAATCAATACATTACTTTTAGAAATAGCATCAAGAACAATGATCTGAGGGAGAATAATAAGAGGAAACCGAGAAGATAAAGGACACTAGTGTAATTTTAGACAGAAAGGCGACAATAACAATCTTCTAATGTAGCAAGGGAGCTACAGTGAACTGATCTGGGTAGCTACAAGTTATAAATAGTACGAAACAATAGAGACTAAGAAACATCAGAACTTTTCAAGCTGAGGGAGAGAAAAGAAAACTGAGCAGCTGTTGTATTTGTGTTGACCCCAGATGAAGGGAGGAAGGAATGATGAATCTGACTCCATGTTCTAGAAGGCTAATTTATTATTTTATGATACTATAATATATTAAAGAATACTAAACTATACTATACCAAAGACTACAGAAAGGATACTTACAGAATGCTAAAAAGATAGTAATGAAAACTCATGACTATTTCCAGACTCCTGACACAGCTTGGCCCCGATTGGCCAATGAGTGAAAACAACTCACACCAGAAACCAAGAAAACAATCACCTGTGGTAAACAATATCCAAATACATTCCACATGTGACCACAAGACAGGAGAAGAAAATGAGATAAGAATTTGTTTCCCTTTTTATCTGGGGCTTTTCAGTTTCCCAGGAGAAAAATCCTGGGCAAAGGGATTTTTTCAGAAAATGTGAATGTGACAAGCAGTCCCATAAAGTTATTTGTGCAGTAACTAATACTCATGTGAGTGGGACCCTACTATTTTTCTCATCCGTGTTTACAAGTGTCCCTCTCACTACATGTCAGAGTTAGAAAGACCAGAGCTGAAGCAAAACTTTACCTAATAGCAGGGTTACTGTCATAAAGCCACAGGGCAAGATCAGAAAATTTGTAATTGAGTGTTCCTTTCCACAACTCCTGTTGCTATGATGTTGATGGTAATGATGGATGAGGTCCATGACTGGCTCATCTTTGAGAAGAACCATTTGGGTCTAATAAATTGTTCCTTTTTTTTTTAGAAACAGAGTCATTTCACAGGGATTACTTTTTTCTCTTCCTGGGAATATTTTACCAGATTATGATACCCTCTGGTATCATTTGCTTTAATCAAGTGTAAAGGTACAACAGGTGCAGACATTTCTACTACTCTGCAATACACAAGGAGAATTTACAAACAAGAGGACATGAGAAAGAAGGGATGCAGGAGGGGCAATGGTAGCCAAAATAAGAACCATACTTCTTGTGATTTAAGAATTCTTCGGTATTCCAGTAGCTCAAACTCAGGCAATCCCATCTCGCAACACATTTAATGATGTGCCCAAATCAGCACCTGGACATTTCACAGAAACCCTTTATTTAGCTTATGGAAACCTATTTATAGCAATCACTGTAACCATGCAGTTTTCAGACCTTTCATGGATATTTCATTACGTTCTCTGTTTCCAAAATGAGTCATTCTTCCTTCAGAGTAATTTTTGAAGATGACATTACAATATGCAGAGATAATGCAATATTTTCCTCCATACAGACATTTTCTCATTTAATTTCTTATTTCATTTCAGAGGACATTATAAAAATGTATAATGGCATATCTATTGTTCATGGGTCATCAGCTGCTTTTAATCAGCAGAGTTTCAGTTCAGTTACAAGTTCTAATGAGATTTTTCCACTGAAACTGATGCCTTGAGAGGCTACCTAGAACAGAGGCTAGACAGTGTTAAAGGAATAAAGCAGGGATTTATTAAAGGCTTTCACAGGATACACCTTGGGCAGCTCAAGAGCCTGGCCGTGTCTACACCCAAGATGGACCCTGGGTCACAAGTTTTCTCACTTTTATAAGTTTTGGTCCATTTCCATATTGGGGTTAATTGTCCAATTCCAGCTCCAGGTTCTGCAGTCCCACCCTCCCAGTATGCTCTCCTCCATTCCCTGTTGTTTGCACTTTTTAGGCCTGAAGCTGCAGTGGTGCCCTTGGTTGTGGGGCTGGAAAAGGATTGTTCTGTGGGACTGAGCTGTGAGGAGAACCTGCCAACACTTTATATGGACTCCAGAGTTATAAACTATTGCAGCACAGAATCTGGAAAATATGAAAGCTAAAACTTAAAGCATCAAAACTAGTGGAATGATACAGATAGACATTTGATTAAGTTTTCCCAAATTACGCCGTCACCTGTAAACAAGAAATTATTTCTTTATTTTTAAACACTTGGAGAAACAACAAGTAATTTCATTACATAAAAAAGATTAAGGGGATATAAATAGGAGGAGCACTGAAACATTATCACATATGTGAATACAGTAATCTAAAGGGGTAAGCAGAATTCTTTTGGATCAACTAGATCAAAATTTTAAAAATCCCCTGTGAATCACTGGCCAGTTTTCCCCCAAAAGCAGCGGAGCACAGCACCTTCTACACCATCTTGGTCTAAATCTCAGAGTTTGGTAAACATAAATTTGAAATATTTTAATAAAACAAGGTCACTATATTGTGATATTTCCCTGTATTTTAGACATGAGGGGAGAGAGGAGGTAAAGGACACAATCCAAGTTTCAGTTTTGCCACTACCACAACTGGCATTTATTTATGTGCCTAAAAGAACCGTGGCCTTCCTCCCAGCTATCCAGGAGGCATTCAGGAAAACTCGTAAATCTGTGACCACCCAAACAGCACAGACATGCAGGATGCTCCGCACAGGTCACTGCCAGATCATAATTTGCAAGTGTTGATTAAAGAGTAATCTTGGCTATTTTTAAATCTAGAAAACAGGCCTAACAAGGACAGACAAACTATTCAGTATTTGGAAACTTAGTTGCTGATAATGAGTTTGGCTTCCTTTGCCCTTGCTCTGTTCTGACCCTGGTGATTCCATATTTTATCCTCATGTTCAAACTGAAAGACCAGGATAAGATGCACTTGATGTCTATGACCGAGCTCTTTAAATATTCTAACAAATTCTTGTCTTCTCTCTTGCATCTCCTCCTCCCTCTGCTCTCCTACAGGCAAGAAACAAAAATATCTCAACCAACTGAAATCTCTATCCAACCTCATCATAAAAATTTCAGTCAGAAACAATGCTCTGACAAAAGATTCTGTAATAAAATCCCTTCTGCTCTGCTACAGGAATAACTTTCACACTGATTTTCATGTAAATAATATGAAATATGAAAACTATAGAGGTAGTTTTTTCTCTACTTTCTTTATCTTCAGCTGGTACATTTTGTGACCAAGAAAAATAAAAACCTGCATATTGTACAAACCCATGAAGTGAAAAGCAAACAGTCCCTGTTTTGTCCCCCAGAAATATATACAGGTTTTAGTACATCTCTAGAAGAACCCACAGCATTCACTTCTGAAATCAAAACTTCCAAAGTGCTAAAGCTCTTCTAAGTCAGCACAGCAGATGGTCTCAGCAGCCCTTAAAGTGACCAATAATAAATTAGTTAATTGATAAATGTCCTGCAATGTAGAAGACAACTTTGGCCAAGAGATCATCATTAGTCTTTCAGACTTATTTAGGAGATTATATTGACATTTAACATTTGCTAGATTGAAATTTGACAATTCAAGATTCCAACATGTCCCACCACTGTATGTATTTTATATTCAAATAATATTTACAATAATGTAATAGGTACTTTTTTTTTTTATCCCTATTTTCACTTTATGGATTGGGGGATTGGGTTGGTTCCTCAAGGCATGTTAGTATGTGTATTTGTCTTCTACTGAGGTTAATCTGAATTCTTACACATATGAGTGTGTCTCTTAGAGAAGGACAGATATAGAAAAATTACTTACTCATTACTTCATCTTGTCCTTAAGTAGCATCTCTGTGTCTGTATTCAGCTACTCCAACTGGCCTGAACCTGAAATGGCTTGGTTTGGATGAATGCCTGTGAAAAATGGACAAAACCAACCTTTGTTTACAGTTCCAGCACTGGTTTTAGTTGCAACCAGTATGTCCTACTCCACAGCAATGAAAAGCTTTAGATTTCTTGATGGTGGAAAATCCTGATCTCTTGCAAGAAAATGCTTTTAGTAGCCTATGACAGACTGAAGCCCCCCTCCCCAATAATTAAGGCCAGTTGTGTGTTAGGTGAGATCCCACGGAAGCAGCCACTCACATTTGTAAACAAGCTGTACGATGAAGGGGTCTGTGCTTGAGTATCTTGCTCTTTCATGGACCTAACAGTGCAGTTAAACAAAAAACCACTAGCCCTAAGAGCAGATTTCCCATGTAATCAAATATTTCCCTGTAGTTCATCTGACATTTGTCGAGTATATTGAGTAAAATCATACTTAGAGATGGTAAAAAGAGTGCAGCATGAGGAGTTTTCATGAAGTCCCACAAAAGCTATTGCAAGTTCTGCAAAAGCAGAGAGGGAAAAGGGTGAAAGAGCTGCTCCTCTTGCAGGCATGAAGTTTCTGAAATACCACAGTTCCTTTACAGCAGTCCATTTTCATAGTGTTTATTGTGTTCCTGAAACATTGGTAGCACAATCCCTCATCTCAGTACTCTCACCTAGAAATCTAAATACTGCATTTCCTTAGAGCGTATCATATAGGACTAATTACTAGTTTTATAGTACTTTCACCTGTAAAAGTCTAATGAAAGACAAAGTCAAAATATATTCTTCAGTAACACAGCATCATTCTCTCTAATCTCCAAATTGAAAGAAGTGAGACTGTCACATTTTAGCAAAGCAGAAACTGGAAGCATAGTGGAGATAAGAAACCTCTGCTCCAAAGCTGAGGATAAATCAACAAACCAAGGTTTTTCATGAGAGCCTCATCCTCAAAAGGGTGAAAAAAAGTTAAACTTCAGAGTTTCATTTAATCTCCTAAATTTGGGCATAGATTTTGAGGCAATCTGAATGCAATCTCTGAGGATGCAAAGTTCACAGACGGGACTGCAGAAGTGTATTAAAAGGTCAGTTATATCTACTTTTGCACATAAATGGAAATTATTCCCATATGTGTATTTACTGGGCTCTTTGACAACATTATGGAATCGATCTGGTCAGTCAGAAGATTATTCAGTATCTTTCAGTGTATCATATGCTTCCCTCAAAGCCATTGCAAAATGGAGAGAGATTTCTGGATTAAGTGTCAAAGACACAGGAAATTTTTTCAAACAACCTTATTCAATAGTTTCCCGGTGATCCCATCCTTACTGTGGCTCTGATTGTTTCTCTCTCCTATCAGATGGGTACTGAAGATAAAGCTGTGCTTAGTCACAGAGGTGGGCTTATTATTTCAGCTCTTATTCTGACAAAATGAACAATACTGCCATGAACTTTCCAGCTAAGCGAGGCCTGGTAAAACATCAAGATGCATCCACCGAACTTCACACGTCTTGACATTTATACGGGACAGCAAAAAACTGCAGGTCTGCTGTCCCAGGCCACTCAAAGGTACTTATTTGCAAAAGATAATTTTGTAGGCAAGGAACTGCATGCCTCAAAATCACTGTATTTTCAGGTTTTGAGTTTGTCATTTTACAAAAGATACAATCCCAACGGAATTTCCACATACTGCCATTCCTATACAAGAGAAATATCAAAATTATCAAAATGGTTATTGAAGCAGCTTATCGGCCAATTTGGCTCAAAGTTGTAAATTATAATAAAGCAGGTCAAATAGTTGTAAATTATAATAAGGAAGGTCAAATTTTTCTCTCTGTTACCATGCACTTCAACAGGACTAGGGTTGTAACAGAACAGGATTTGTGTCACTTGCAATAAATGATGACCAAGTCTCACTTCTCTTAAGTAAGTTTCAAGTAAATAAAAACTCCCAAATCAATCCTGGCAGTTTTGCATTACAGCATTCAGTGAACGCATTACCTCCACCTTATTGAATAATAAATAACACCAATCACACCCAAGAAATTTTCCTTCACCTTACCCATAAGGAGGAGGCTTTGCTTTCCACCGTTTGAATCTGAGAGCAACTTAGTACCAAGGTGTTTCTTAAAACAAGTTCAGTTACTCATGTAGAAATATTTTAAGAATCTGCCTTTAATTTATTGCTGGAAGAAGCAAGACTGTTGAACCTTAAAGCTTTTGCACAATGTGAAAGCTCATAAAGCCTTGAGAGCTTTGTCCACAGACCCCACAGTAAGTATGACTCATTGAATACTATTCTTTTCTCAGTATGCAATAAAGAGAAATATTATTTATAGCAGCATACAAACTATTAGGAAACTGTTTTTCTTTAAAGTTTAGACATAGCAAGTTGGACAATCGGCAGTACTTAAAATTTCTTTGAATTAGGGCCACATATCGTATCATGGCAAATATGTGATTACTATGTAGTATTCCAATTTCTCAAAATAGCTCTGACATCCACAAGTTTGCTGAGGTACAATATCTTATTGTTTTTGGCTCAGAAGTGACTTGAGCCCTAAAGCAATTTTAAGAGCACAAACAATGGAGCAGTTTCCTTGCCTTAAGGCTCTCACTTCCATGCCTCACATTTGATCTTTACATACATCCTCAAAAAGGTCCTACAGTTCTCAAAAAATGTTCCTGGCTGGATTTGTCAAAAGCCTTCAGCATAGACTCATTTGTTCACCCAGAATTTGTGGCGAGAGCTTGGTAAAACCCACTAGAGCAAACAGTTGTAACAAGTTGTACATTACATGACTGCTGCTGCACTTATCAGCTGTGCTCTGAGAACTTAAATCATGCCAGAAATCGTTCACCAGTGTTCATGTTAGTCCAGACTGAAGAGAGAAAAGAATTCTTCCCCAAATGCCCCAAAGATGACATTTGAGGCGCAATCAGCTGTAACAAAATGTTCTAGAATGGCACTAGGTTTGTGGCAGGTATTTCCTACAGAGAAAAACTGCTCTTTTTCTGAAGTTACTAGGAAGACCAGGAAGTACATTCCTACAAAAAATAAAAGGGAATTGGTTCTTTCATATGTAGCAATCAGAGGAGAAATGTACGTAGAATTAGAAACAATGCAGTACCTTTTAACTTGAGCTATAATATGCAGTCCAAAATGTGAGCATTTAAAGCCATGCCCAAATACATCAGTTTCAGGCCTACTCTATTTAGGTTAAGGTTTGTTTCGTATGCCTGCAGCTAAGCTGAATTTTCAAAGTTAGTAATAGTTACATAAGACAAAATAAGACAAAATACCCAGTGCAAAAACACTCCACCCTCTTGAAAAGAAGCATGATAAAGGTCTGTTGAAGAGCAGACAGAAGAAAATGGATGTGACTCCCTCTCTTTAGGACTTTCTTCATTCCCCAAGCTCCTGTAGTCAGCGAGGAAGAGAGGAGCCTTCATTGGCAGTCCTGCTAGGAAAATAATGAAAATATCACTAGTTTACTCCGGGAGCAAAATGTTTTTTCCAACAGCTGTTCACTGAAAAAAATTCTATTTGTGCTGCAGAGTTTAGATGAAAGATTGAAAAATGTGCATACTTTTGATTTTGTCTTCCCTACCTTCCTGGCACGGAGTGAATCCATACAACACCCACAGACTGTGACAACAGGAGACCTTTCCCCTTATAAACAGAATATTGCTATAAGATTTTGCACTTCCTGTGTTTTCATTCAGTACAACAATACAGGAATCAAATACAGTAAAAAGCCATTACTGAAGCATGTTGTGAAAACTACCTGGATTGAAAGAAAAACTGTCACATTTTGCACACAGTTCAGAAGGGTATTTGGGTTCCTGCTGTCACCAGTTGCATTTTAATCACTTCAGAACATGATATGCCTGAAACAACCATGCAAGAGCCGCATAATAGCCAATAATTTTCCTCAGGTCGTGTAGGGCAAAAAGTACCAGTTTCTTTTCTCCCCATCTGGTTTTATGCCATGTACTCAGAAAGTTGTTGTCTGGCCTTTTTGTCCCTGTGATATATTGCATCAGTCTGCTGGTTCCCACAAGCTCATATTTAAAGAGCTTCTGTTCACTTATGCCTGCCTTGTAAAAGGTCTCTCGTGTTGTTTTTCTCCCCACCCCCTTCAAGAGCAATAAACATTCTGCTAAGGAAAGGCTTTAGCATCAACCAGATTTCAGTGCTGATTAGAGGGGAGGTACTCTGGCTGCGTTTGAAATGGGCCTCTTTTGACTGTTTTTGCTTCTAAAATTAGCTGGGCCATTTCCTGAGGGAAGCCTTGGGATGGATGCAGACGCCCCGGTACACACTCCCCCCGTCCCACCACGCTGGAGCTGTGTCGGAAAGCACAGGGAGAGAGCTGCAGAGCTGCTCAGAGTGGCTGAGAAGGCTGGGAAGCTGCTCTCCTCCAGGCTGGCAGCGGGGCCGTGGAGAGCCCTGGCTGCCAAACCCGGCCTGCAGGCCGCTGTTTCAAACACCGAGTGTCTGAGGCCCCAAGGGAAGGCCTGAAACTGCAGCCGAGGGCAAAACCCTGCTCAGCTCCAGCCTCTGCAGAGCCAGGCTGTTATTATTTATGCCAGGACTTGTTCTCCCTTTGGTTTGCTGCTCGGCAGTCACATTTTTGTGACAGCATTTCTGCCAAGAGCAAGGTCTGCATTTCCCAGGGATGCCCTGGGCGCAATACTGCAGAAAGGCAAAGGCAGCAGTTCCTCAAAATGTTTCCTGCCCCCATGCACAAAAAGATGCTCTACCTGATTTTCTGGGGGCTGTTGAATTCAGCCCATTTACTCCGTTCTGTGAAATTCAATAGAGTAAGTTTTGGACCAGGGCACAAAAGTTCCAATACCCACACTGTAAGTAATGCATGTATCTACGTCAGAATCTGTGGAGGCCTTGTTTAGATAGGTTTATGTCCTGATAGCAGGACAAAGATAAAAATATGTTACAGTTACTTTTGCAAGACAGGTCTGTCTTTGCTGGGGTTTGCTTTCTCCCACGAGCCAGCCCCTCTTATGAAACAAGAGACAAACATTT